TTCAGCTTTTCATCTACCAGTAGATGAAATCTACCAGTAGGTGGAGATTTCATCTGCCTCTACTCTGCCTGGCTGGAGGCAGGACCCATCTAATACTGAAATGTCTCGCTCATGTCTTGGAGGAATGGATTATTGGTCAAGTCAGATCCTCCATCCTGTTTGGATAGGGGAGCACCAATTTTTCTGGAAGAATCCCCACTGGTGAATTGTTTCCCTTTCAATTCACTTACTCATTCCTCTAGAAGTGAGGTAGGTTTTCCCTCCCATCTCCTCATGTCCTCTCTGTGGTCTCACAGGTGAAGCCACAGGGTACTCCATGATGGATGCCTGTTATATTCCCTTCTGTGAGCAGAGGAACACTCACTCCTAACAGCCAAGATACTGGCTCATGCAGGTGGTGGAACATCTCTCTGAATTGCTTTGATTTTTGGGGCAGTCTCTGTACAGCTGAGACACAAGCCTGTATGGGGGAAGAGAGGCTTTCCTCATATTCCCAGAAACAGTGAATCAGCTCACCTACTGTCAGAACCTCATCCTCTTTCTAAGTTATTATTGCAAGCACACTGACATACAAGGATTGTGCACTCTGCATTAACTTCTGCCACATGGGTCACATGCGCTGAACTTCATCTGCATCAGTGGGTGTTTGTATATTGTTCAGATCACGGTAAATGGAGCACCTCTGCTATGAAGAAAGGCTGAGAGAATCGGGCTTGTTCAGCCTGGAGAAGAGAAGGCTCCGGGGACACCTTATAGCCCCTTCCAGTACCTGAAGGGGCTACAAGGAAGCTGGAGGGGACACGACTTTTTACCAGGACCTGTAAATGGGTTTAATTTGAAAGTGGGGAGATTTAGATTAGATATCAGGAAGGAATTCTTCCCAGAGAGGGTGGTGAGGCACTGGGACAGGTTGCCTAGAGAAGCTGTGGATGCCCCATCCCTGGAAGTGTCCAAAGCCAGGCTGGATGAGGCTTGGAGCAACCTGGTCTAGTGGAAGGTGTCCCTGCCCATGGCAGGGGGGTTGGAACTGGATGATCTTTAAGGTTCCTTCCAACCCAAACCATTCCATGATTCTGTGATTTCCAGCACCGCTTGTTCCCTCAGGTACTGGATACCTTTCTCAATGGTGGTCCATTTGTGTGGCTGAAGTGGCACACTTTATGGAAGTGGAGCCGCTGTAGGAGGTGGACTTGTTGCGGTGGGAGGTGGCATGACTGCAGTTGCAGGTGACGTGGTCATGGTGGGAGGTGACAGAGCCACTGTTGCAGCTGCACTGGCTTGGGGTGCTGCCCTGCCCACCGCACAGGTCCACCCCACACCCCTTTGTGTTAGGGTGATTCCCGTGTCTGCACAGAATCTTACTCTGCCCTGAGCACTGGTAGTGGATGGGGCAGCGTTCCCAAACATTTCCTTAACTTTAAACAAAATCACTAGATCATTTACAAGGAAGCTGATCCCTGAACATAGGTCACCCCAACACCATGAAAAATTTCCAAAATACTCATACGCCTTTGCCATTGGTCCGGGAAAAGAGGGAAAAATTGGAATAATTTCTCCACATCCATCCCATCACCAAATAATCTCTCCTCTATAGGCTGAGTTCCTGAGGAGAAAAAACGAAAGGTGTAATTACTGAAAGCCTGCAGGGGATAATTCGCAAAGTACCAGGGGGCTGACAATATCAAATACAGATAGAGAGAGGAGATTCCTCCCAACATCAGCAATAAACTGAACAGTTTAACTAAATCTCTCAACACAGTTCAAGCATATAAGATCAGGGTAATAAGGAACATGTAAGGCAGTAAGGTGACACCGTTCTGTTAGCAACTTAAAAAGCCCTGAACTCAGCATCTGGATCAGCCACCACCACATTGCTGTAAAGAATACTTACCGCACACTAATCAGATATGTTCTTATCCCAACTGTCTCAAGCCCCATACTGGGTTCCAAAAAAAACTGTCATGGTTTTAGCCTTATCTGACAATTGAATACCAATCAGTTAATCACTCACCTCCCACCCTCCTCCCACAGTGGAGGGGAGTTGGGGGAAAAGACAAGGAAAGCTCATAAAATTGAGGTAAGAAATATTTAATAATATAAATGAAAATTATAGTGATACTAATACTAACCATACTACTACTACTAAGTAATTAAAACAATAGAAAATAGAACATGCGATACAGTATCTCACCACGTGCTGACTGACACACAGCCAGGTCCCACAGCAGGGAACAGTCCCGGAACCCAGTCCCAGAGCCCGACAGCTCCAGAGCAGGTAGAAAACAGGCTTCCTGCCCTTAACAAAAGTAGCTAACAACCCAGCTATCAAGCTAGCCAAAAGCCTTAACGATCCTCCCCCCAGGCCAAATTCCTGCCTCAGAACTGCACATGTGCACACCCAGCCTGACCACGGAGCCTGACTTACCATGGAATGAGACAAAATCCCTTGGCTGCTCTATCACGCTGCCACACTTCGCAGATGGTCCTTCCTCCTGCCTGCTGCACCTGTCCTGGTTGGCTTCCCATGCACCTGTTTGACCTGGGAAGGGCTGTGAAGGAAGGCCAGGGCTAGTGGAGGTGGCAGTTTTGTGGAGTGAGACCCAGTGCGGTTTAGGAACAAAGGGTTCAGACCAAATACGCATGGTGCTGCCTGTCTTCCTTCTCCCTTAGGAGTAGCTGGACTCGTCTGTGCAGAGACCTTGCGCCAGGAGGGTTTCTCAGACAGGATTGTGATGTGCACAATGGACAGACACTTGCCCTATGACAGACCAAAGCTCAGTAAGGTTTGTATCACCTTGGGTATGTCACGATCTCCCTGAGTTTTTTTCCCTACCATCATTCATTGCCTTCTTCCTTATTTGTCCTGTCTCTGTTTTCCACTGAATTCTCTTTGCTGTTTTTTGTGACTCATATGAAGCACAGAAGAGGAGTTGTAAAAATCCTTTACTCCTGCACAGAAAAAGGGGACTTTCTCCATAGACACAGCAATAGCTGTCTTGGCCAGATGGATCTTCTTAATATGTTTCTCCCTACCATCATTCATTGCCTTCTTCCTTATTTGTCCTGTCTCTGTTTTCCACTGAATTCTCTTTGCTGTTTTTTGTGACTCATATGAAGCACAGAAGAGGAGTTGTAAAAATCCTTTACTCCTGCACAGAAAAAGGGGACTTTCTCCATAGACACAGCAATAGCTGTCTTGGCCAGATGGATCTTCTTAATATGTTTCTGGATCAAAATCTTTAGGGGCAATGGAATGGGGCATATGAAAAAATCGTGTTGTTTGCCAGGTTTTTTATTAGTGCATGGTTCTTACTGTCCAGTAATGCTCCATGTCATAATTATGATGATCATCGGTCATCATCACAACTTGATAACTTCATAGTGTATAGATCACTTTTTCTGGCACAAATCCCATTTTGCATTCCAGTTTGTAGACACAGAATGATCACAGAATCACATTTTTTATTACTGATACCTGGCCCTTACTTTGAATCGGACAGTAGCTCAGGTTGGACAGCAGCGTTTGCTCCCGAAGCTTGGAGATAACGTAAGAACAGACAGTATGTGTATTCCCCATATGTCAGGCATGCTTCTTTGTTGGGGCTGGACCTCTACAATCACACCATCTAACTCTGCTTCCAGCCCCAAGACAAAGTGGTTTTCAAAGGAAGCAAATATGCATGTGGCTTTTTGAGAGCACTGAAACCATCACTGTGCTTGGGCAGACCTGCTTGTGGTGAGGAGCAGCTGGCTGAAACCTGCATCCAAGAGTTGCCACAGAGGTGGTGCTGGGGACCTGGGCGAAGCTTGCAGCCCCTGTCCCAACCTGGTTCTTGTGCCCACCGTGTGAGTCCTGATTGCCTTTTCTACTCTCCATTAAATAGCAAGAACATCTCACTTGCCTGGAGGTGTTATGCATGGTTCTCCACTGAACTCTCCACTGAACACCTCTGGCTGTAGTTGCTTTTGGAGAGTGCGCTAAACCCATGGAAGAGCAGGCAGAATTTTCAGGAACAGGCTAGAAAAAAAAATTTATTTTTTTCATGTGCATGGGATTAACCCTGGAAAGAGTCACTAGAGGAGGAGCACGTGAAGCTGTAAGCAGCAGAACCCTTGCCTTCTGAAACTGCAGCATTGCTCATTCTCTGCCATGCTGAATGCCTGTTACCAGTCTGTTCCAAGGTCCTGCCAGACTCTTCCTCTCTGTCCCCTTTGGACTATGACCTGCTCCTAGTGGGCTGCAACGCCTCCGTGACTGTCTGGGAAGCACTGAGCGGCAGCAAAACCTGCAGTGGCAGTGCGCTGCCCTGTGCAGCCTTCCCTGGACACCCGTGTGGGGAGAGGGCCACTGCTCCTGAGCCATGGTGTCACACATTCCTCTGTAAACATTGCGTGTTTAAAGAATTTGCAGTAAAACCCTTATTACCCTGCATGTGCCTCAAGTTCTGAGATACGTTATCTGAAATCACAGTAAAGGAGTGTCCTGCAGGGCTCATCCCAGCCCCTGACCGACGCACTTCCAGGGAGAAGGACCACAATTGTACATGCATCCCTGGTGCAGCCCTTGATTCCTGCATCCTCTGTCCCTCTTGGCCAAGGCCAAACCTCATGCCTATGTGGCATGGGTAGATGGTGCTGCTGCTCAGCATTGTGTCATAAGTTGCAGGACTTGACCCTGGCACGTGTGTGACCATGCCTGTCCTCTCCATGCTGATGATAGGGTGATGCTCTGAAGCACGGAAGCATTCTTCCTGCAGGTCACTTGGCTCAGCTTGTCCTCAGCCTATGTCTGAGCTTGTGTCCACAGGGTTAGGAGGACAGATGAGCTTGCGTTCAAATATGAGGGGTAAGGGTGACATAGGTCTCACCCAAGGAAGGCTGGGAAGAGAAAGAACCTTCACCTTTGCAGCTAAAGTCTGCTGCAGATATGTGCCACATGCTGCTGCTTGGGTTCTGGGGGAACTTGTGCTGCATAACTTGGGTGCTTTTGAAAGTGTTGCCCTTTCTGTGATAATGCTCTTTTAGCTTCCATTTCCTGTGGCACCTGGTTGTTTTGCAAATAATGGGGCTTTTCTTTTGTTTCTCTGAACTTGTATGTGTTACAGGGAGCTGCATTCGCATTACAGACAGTCAGAAGCGCTCGCTGCAGTCCTGCCTTAGCAGATCAGTGCCACCCTCGCGCTGAGCAGGCAGGGAAGGAACCAGAGCCCAGTCCAGCATCTTGTGATGACTTTTACTTGGACAGTCTCTGATTCCAGCCCCTGTAGAGCAGCTCTCTTAACCCATGCCATGAAGACTGACTTCAGACTACTGCTGACTTGTGTTGCTAAGAGTCATTTCTCCACTCACCTGTTCAACCCACAATGATTGACAGAAAAATGGCTTTTTTTGCAGTCAATGGATTCCCACCCGGAGCAGATTGCCCTGCGCCCCAAGGAATTCTTTCGCACCTATGACATTGAAGTCCTGACTGAAACACAGGTGAGGAGAGTCCTGCGTGTACCTGCAGGCTGTCTTCTGCAAGTGCTGTTGTGCAAAGGCTGTGTTCAGGAAATGTGGGAGATGTCTGTTCTTTATACACTGGATGCCATTGCAGAAATGCTGGGTCTCCCCCAGCTTCCCTGTTTGATGCACCAGAGCACAGGTTGCTTGTGGTCACTCACACAGTTAATACGATTCCTCCCATGGCAGGAAGGACACCCAGTGTAAATTCTGTGGTGACCATCATTTCTTACCTGCCATTTGCGAGCACGTGGCTCTGGGGTGACCAACTGTTCTCTGATCAGGATAATCGGCCTGCAAGCAGTGCAAACAGTGATGGTGTAAACATTTCTCCCTATTATTTTATTTATACTGTGACACCTTCAAGGATCTGTGAAAAGGCAACTAGAAATATTTAAGGTTAGGGTTGGCTAAGCTGTGGACAGAAGCCCAGGAGACCAAAACCTAACCGACAAGTTGGTTGGGCTGGGAACTCAGCGATCGTCTGTGATTTCATCCCTTGACATTATTTACGAATGATTTCAGGTTGCGGCTGTGGATATCAAGAACAAGATAGCTGTGTTCAAGGATGGGTTTAAGATGGAATACAACAAGCTGCTGATAGCGACTGGAAACACGTAAGCTACGAACATTTTAAAGATGAAGAGAAACTGTTTTATCTGAGAATGTGAGGAGCTTGGGCCTGGGGATAAGGGGTCAGATACGGCGGTTGGATTCGGACGCTGAATTTGTTTGTAAGAATGTTTGCAGAAAAGGCAAGGGACACCTATGGATATGCCTGTATATATCTATCTCTATCATCTGTATCTCTACCTCTATAGAGCTGTGCTGGGTATATCTACTCAGCCAAAGCTGAAAAGCCCCTGTGTCACCCAGGTGTCACTCAGAAAGCAGGTAACCACCAGACATGGGAGCTGGTGGGATGGCTGTGGGATTTGCTGCGTGGGGTGTTTCATGATCAGTGTGAAGGCCAAAAGGTTGTTGACAGAAAGTACTCACTGAAGAAGTCGGTTGCGTGGGTTGTTTGATATTAAAGAAACTGGTAGAAAACAGATTTGAAAAGGTGAGGGAATTTGCCAGCAGCACTCTTAACGCTGTGCTGTTTGCTGGGGCTGGCCCAAGAGCCTACGGGAGAGGCTCAGGAAATTCCCACTGAGTTCATCATCTTAGAATATTAAAATTCATGCCCAGGATCTTGAATATATTTTCTTTAACAAAAGCCCACAAAATGGAAGTGTCCTGATTTGTTTTTAAAAGGTAATTTTTGCCACGTTGCTGTTTTTTTCACCCCTTAATAATATTCAATCTTGACAATCAAGTAATTCATCCATCTGAATTTCCAGCTTTCATTTCCTGCCAACCTTTACGATCTTTCTTGACAATGAAAGTTGTTGCCCTTTCTGTGAGCCTTGCCCCTAGGAGGGAAGTTTTCAAGACTGAAGCCTGGTCCATCTGGGAAAGGCAGAAGTGATGTACCTGTGGTGCTGTGCACCACTGCTGCTGGGGCACAGAGCATCACCCAAGACCGGCATTAGCCCTAGTGCCCTGGAAGTAGTGGAGCAGTTTGTTTTCAATAGAGGATTTGTCAAAACTGACACTTTAAGATGAAAATGAGGCATCCTGGCTCCCTTTCCTTGTGCTCCTAACACTAAGGCACAAAACAAAGTAGGAGAAATGCAGCTGCTGCAAACTTTATCATCCGTGGAAGGGATGCTGTAGAGCAGCCAGAGCAGGGACTCCCGTTGCAACCCTGTGTGCCACCGGTAACAGCAACAGCCCCACTGAGTGCTGATGGCTGGTGCTGGGCTGTGCAGTGCTGCAGCCAAAATGCTGTCTGCCCCAGCCTTCTAATTAACTTCAAAAGAGGATTAAGCCTTTGGCAATAATTTCAAAATCCTTATGCACAAGCTCCAGGTACACCGGGTAAATGCTTTTAAGGTACCTAAATTATTTAGGATCGTCTGTCCCATTTCTAGATGGGAGTCAGGTATGGGGTCGGATATTTAAAAATACATAGGTTCCAGTGAATGCATGGGCCAAGACAAGATCAAACTGCTACAACATCAGCAGCATGTCCCTAGAAACGGCTAGTGGAACCTGCATCTGCAGAGGCTTATCAATATCTGGCTCCAGAGTGTCTGCTGGAGAACAGAGTGTTTCCTGTGTCCCATTAAGCTTCCAAAAATTTTACCACATGCCAGCAGTTGAGCACAAGCTTGCAAAGTGGTACCCATCCAGTATGTCTCCAGCCCAGAGAAAGGTGAAAAAAGGAAAGGCTGAGATGCTGTTGGAGCCCCCGAAAGGGGTTCTGCAGCCCTGACTGCCACCACACAGTCAGGAAAAACACCTGTCACCTCAATGTGTGTTTTCAGGCCCAAATCTCTTAGCTGCAAAGGCAAGGAGGTGGAAAATGTTTTCAACATCCGAACACCTGAAGATGCCACCCGTGTCGTGAAGCTGGCCACAAGCAAGAACGTGGTTATCGTGGGAGCATCCTTCCTGGGTAAGCACTTGCTCTGTGGGTGGCCACATCTCAGCTGTCCACATCTTCCTGCGGACTGTCCCAGTCCCTCAGCCAGTTTGTTGCTGCCCAGTTAGAAGTGAACCCCACCAAACTGGACCTCGGGGCAGTCCAACCTCCAGTTCTGGGCAGGTGGTAAGGACATCTCCTTCCTGAAAAAAATTATTTTACTGGAGAGGCTGGGCCATTTACATGTTTTCATGAACACAGGTATTGCTGTCTCAGTCTGAAAAGAATATGTACTGAAAAGCATACTCACTGGTACTGAAAAGACAGTACCAGTGCTTTCATGGTTTCAGATATGAAAAGCAGAGCAGGTTGGGCTTCATGTAGGAGAGTTTTGTTGGTAGGTGAAAGCCTGTGGGTTTATTTCTCTTTTACTTTTTATCAGTTGTGAATTTTTAAAATACACAGGAAAAATCTTACTGTTTCTTTGATGGTTCTTTTTTTTGTTTGATATGGTTATCAAAAAGACAATAGTTGGTCCTGCAAGTCTTAAGCATAAATGCTTATTAGTCAAGGAACTTATTATAAAACATTTGGTATTTGGTTTTCTTCCTTTTTTTTTTTTAAATGCTGATTTAAAGGTTCAGTGAATCCCATCTACAGAAAAGCATGTGGTTTGGTTTCCCTCATCTGTAGACCAAGTGCTACAGGTTCCTGGTGCACTTTGGGACCTCAGCAGGGCCAGTTCCTCCTTTCAGTCTTTGAAACCTTCTTATGGCTTCTGTGTCTAAGAGCCAGTCACCATAAGTGTCACCTGAAATGGTGTATCCCCTTGTGACCGCCATGCCTGGTGGCACCCCAGATCCCCCAGTAGAATAGCTCCAACCCCCCCAGCCAGGAGCAGGCAAGGGTGCTCCTCCACTGCAGCTGGCACGGTGGACATGGGGCAGTGCTGGGGGCAGTGCTGCGACCATTCAGACCTGCTCTGTTTTCAGGGATGGAGGTGGCTGCCTACCTCACAGAGAGGGCCCACTCGGTGTCCCTGGTAGAGCTGGAGGAAGTCCCCTTCAAGAAGTTCTTTGGGGAGAGGGTTGGCCGTGCTGTCATGAAGGTGACCTCACTTTCCTGTCTGGGGGGGGGGAAAAGGGGGTGGTTTTGCTGTCAGAGTGGGTTCTGCTTGTTTCACTTACTGCACTTGCTGTTATGTGAAGTGTATTGATTAAGATGTGATGTTAGCAGTCTTCAGAAAGAACAGGCTGTGTCCTCCCCCTCATGGCCCACTTGCTGTTCTTTGGGACCCATGTGGGGATGGAGGAGGTGCCAACCCCATTTGCCCCGTGGGTCGAGGCAAGCCCAAGGGTGGGTAGGGCGATGCAGGGACACAGGAACACCAGGGGCAGGGGCAGTTTGGGGTCCTGATATCCCCTGCTCTGTCCCCTATCGCCCCTCCAGATGTTCGAGAGCAACAGGGTGAAGTTCTACATGCAGACAGAGGTGTCAGAGCTGCGAGAGCAGGAGGGCAAGGTATGGTGCGGGCAGGGGCTCCCCTTCACCTCTTGGGTTCTGCCCTCTGATCTTTCCTAGCCCCTGAAAAGTCATATTCCCAGGTTTAGCTCCCAGGAGCAAATGTGCTCCCATCCTTCTCCTGCTGCCACTGTAAGGAGTTATGGTCAATCTGCATGTCAAAAATTAATCAAGCTGCCCGATTGGTTTGCTGCTACTACAGGAGTGCTTTTGTCCCTAAAATAACCATAATGTCCCCCTGTGTCTGATGCAGCTGAAGGAGGTTGTGCTGAAGAGCGGGAAGGTCCTACGTGCTGATGTCTGTGTCGTTGGTGTCGGTAAGGGGCTGTGGCGGTGGTGGGCTGGCAGTGCTTTGCTCGGCAAAGGTGGACCTGGAGGGGATGTGGCAGCAGCAGTTCTAGAGCCTCTATCCCAAAATGCAGCTGAAAATCTATTTGGAAAATAGTAATGGTTTGGTTTTTTCCCAGAAAAAAATGCAAACATTCAAACAAATTTCATCCTCCCAAGTTGCTTTTGGTTTTTTTTTTTTCTTTAAATCTCCCCAAACTGACATTTTTGTTCATGCCGCTGCCATAGAAGAGAGTATTTTATCCTTTAGTCTTGGTAGGGGGGAAATCCTTTCTCACACTATAAACCTTTCAAAAGTTGCAGACTGGAAGAGTCACAGAATAAAGTTTAATTCTCCTTTTGTTGTTTTATTGACTCTTCTGTTTTGTGAAGGCTAGATGGAAAAAAAAAAAAGATTAAAAAGGAAACTGAAGGCTGAAGAAAAGGTACAGATTGTGGGGGAGGCAGAGGAGCCCTGTCTTTGGAAGACTTGGGTATCCCTTTTACATATATTTTTTTCAAAATATCTATAAAAGAGAAGTGGATTGAAAATTATCTTCAAGCATTAGAAAATGTGTCAAGGAAGTTTAGATTGGATATTAGGAAGAATTTCTTTACTGAAAGGGTCATTAGGCACTGGAGCGGGTTGCCCAGGGCAGTGGTGGAGTCCGCATCCCTGGAGGTGTTTAAAAGTCGTGCAGATGTGGTGCGTAGGGACACGGTTTAGTGGGGGACTTGTCAGTTTCAGGTCGATGATTGGACTAGATGATCTTACGGGTCTTTTCCAACAATTCTGTGATTCTGTGAAAAAGGTGGTGGGCACCTTACAGTGGTGCACTGATGGCTTGGAGAGCGGTAAGGCCACTGGGGATGCGGGAGGGGATGTAGCGGGAGGACTGGGGGCTCTCTGGGGTGCCTGGCTCTGCTCCCCACTCCCAGACCAGCAGCCCATTGCCTTTCCCTTGGGACAGATGGGTTGTCCAGGGGGAGATCTGATGCCCTGGTGGTCAACCCCTCAGGGCTGCGGGGATGCCTGGCTACTGTGCCAGCAGCCCTTGCCTTCTCCCGCAGGTGCAGTCCCAGCGACAGGCTTTCTCAAGCAGAGTGGCATCAACATCGATTCCAAAGGCTTCATCGTGGTCAACAAGGTGAGTCTGGGGGGTGAGGGAGAGGAGGAGGTGCTGAGTCTGTTGCACGAGCTTGTCTGAGCTGAGCTTCCCTGGGGCTTCGAACTGCTGTTGCAGAGACGGTTCATCTACCGGGATGCTGGGACCATCACGCTGGAGCGTGTGGGACCCCGTGCAAGTGAGGAGTTTGTAAATCCCTCTGGATGCTGTGGCTTAGGACCATCTCTGAGCCATCCTGGAATGGTGTGGATATTTTGTGAGGGAAAGAAATGGAGAAAGATCCACCTTTTCAAGGATTCTAAAGGATCTCATCATTCCACCATCAGTGACTCCTTTGGGAGCGATGTTGGTGCTGATCGGTAGTGTGTGCTGTGAGCAAGGAGCAAGTAGGGGGGGCTGCCTCTGCTCCAGGGGCTCATTGCCACCCACCCCTATGCTTATTGCTCATGCTAGGCTCTGTTTGCAAGCTCCAGCAGACCCCAGTCTTCTGAGAGGGACTCTGGGACACCAGTCTGTGTCTCCTTTTACTGAGTAACCCTCTGGCAGAGGGATAGATTCCTGCTTGTGTGGTCCACTTTGAAGTGAAGACTGCTAAATTGAATCCTGCTCAGGGGTCCCCCAGTCATGCAGAGGTTGTCCATGTGTCCTGGGGGACCGTGGCAGCTCTCAGGTAGATCTCAGTTTGCTGAAGGTGCAGACCCCACCAACGCTCACTTCTGCTTCCCCCTGCAGATGATGCAGACCAACATCCCGGGAGTCTTTGCAGCCGGTGATGCTGTCACGTTCCCACTGGCCTTGAGGAATAATAAGAAAGTGAACGTCCCTCACTGGCAAATGGCGCATATGCATGGTACTTGCTTTTCAGTCCTTTCACTTCGCAACAGCAAATTGCTTATGGAAAAGAGCCTTTTCCAGACCTCAGGAAATTTCTAAGCCCTCTAGCAAGAGAATAAGACAACTGCCAACAGGGAAACATGGAAGTTGTATTAAAACTTTTGAAGCATGTGTACTTTATCTGGTCCAATACAACTTGATTTGTCATCCTTCTTGATGCACACTGCCTAACGAGGCCTCATTAAAACACAGATGCCCAGGGACAGGCTTCCCCATATGCCATGTGCAGCTGTAGTTGCTGCAGGAGCCTGACCTCCCCCTTGCCCCAGGACACTTGGGAGCTCACATCCTAATGTTAGCTTAGGCTCATATCCCCAGCTGGGCTGCCTGTGATGCTGGGCTGGCCAAAGAGCATGCTGCAGAACTGAGACCTTTCTCCCCTTCGTGCCAGCAAGCCTGGAAACCCTGGCATGATGGGCTGCTCTAGAGCTTTCCAAGGCTACAACGCCATGGGCAGGTTGACCTCTGGGTGGGTGCCCTGCGTGAGGTTTTAGAACCACACCACCACAGTTAGCCTTTGGACACAGCCCCCTTTAATGCTCGTCCAGCCATGCCTTCATGGCAGGGACTGTACCATAACAGTCTCCATGACTTCAGGGGGTTTATCCATCCCATCCCCATTTGCAGTGGGAGCTGAGCAAGCTCTCAGTCCTGTCGCCGTTGCAGAATCTGGCTTGAAACAGGCTCATGATCACGTTGCTCATGCCAGTGAGGATGAGTCAGTAAGAGCTGCCCTGCTGGGGAGGAATTCAAGCCCAGCCTTGGACGATGCAATGTGTTTCCTTGTTGGTGCTTGTTCCTGAATGGATTTTTATTAGCTTAAGCAGAAGGTCTTGGTTTCCCTGTACTCTGGGACTAGAGATGCTGATGCCGTGCTGCGACCTGAGGGCAGACCACAGTGCTTGCTCTGGTGTGGAGCTTCCTCACTTACTCTGCTGCATCTCTCTTCCAGGCCGTATAGCCGCACTGAACATGCTGGCCCATGGTGTGGAGATCAGCACGGTCCCATATTTGTGGACTGCTATGTTCGGGAGGAGCATCCGATATGCAGGTATGGGGCTCCCCAAGGCTGCTGCAGAGTTTGTGCTGGTGGAGGTGTCCTGGGATAGAGAAGCCACAGCCACCTTCCTTGCTGTGGACCAACTTTTGCCTTGGGTCTGCTTCCCTTCCTGGCTCTGGAGGGTTTTGGTATCTCTGCTGCTCATCACCATGGGGTGCAGGGCTGTGGGGCAACTGTGGTCGTGAGGGATGGCCCAGTGCAAATAGTCTCCCTGAACTTGGACTTCTCTGAAGGAGGGGTTGCTCCTTGGTGCCTTCATCTTCTGGTGCTGGTTTTGTGATGATTGTAGGATGCTCTTCATGTAGCTCTTCTTTCTTAGGGGCTACAGCTGGATCCAGGGGAATTGTTGCTGAATTAATTTCTCTACTTCCAGGCCACGGGGAAGGGTTCGATGACGTTATCATTCAGGGAGATTTAGATGAACTGAAGTTTGTGGCATTTTATACCAAGTAAGTGTTTCTTTTCTCCACATGCCCACACAGGCATTCATCTAAGCTTGCCCTGCTAGGCTGGAAAATATTTTTGCCAGAGCTTCTGTCAGTCAGTTGTTTTACTCTCTGGACACTGAGGTTGCAGAACATTAATCATGGAATCATATTATAATAATAATAAAATTATATT